AAAATACCGCGCCAGTTGGAGTGTATGGCCTCAGTCGATTAATTATGGAGCCACAAATGTATGAGCTTTAATATCGGTATACGTCAACAACTAAGAGAGCGATGGGAAAACAAACTGAATTTCTTAACACTTTAAAGCCCATTCGTAACTTTATGTACCACAAAGGACTGTAAAGAATTCTGCTCCTTTAGGTCTGATTTTACTGATTTGAGTCAATGAAATGACTTCCGATACACGAATTGATTTTGTAAATAATTCGATTACATACTTTCTTTTGAATGATTTTAAATACCAGTCGATTTGTTTAAATAAATTCTTTGAACATACTTTACTTTACTTTAACATATTTTAGATACTAGTTTTACTGTAAAAATGCTAATTAATGTGTGTAAATTAAGCGCAATTTTTACATTGAAACATTGCAAGAAGATATGGTACGAGACGAATCCAATTATTAACATTTAGATTTTAAACCAACTTATTACCATTAAGCTGCTTATCCAGAACCATTTTAAGCACATTTGTGATTAAAATTAACATCTACTGACAAAAGTTTTTTATTAATCTTGAAAAGAGGCATAGTTACGCATTTCGATATAATGCTTCTACAACCTACAGAACTCAATTTAATTAAATATTATTATTAAAAAGCGATATAGTAGATATATATATATATATACATATAATTTTTATTTCTTTTATTCAAACTTTTATCTCTTAATAAACGTGACCTACACAACATAATCATTTCTTTTGTGACCATATCTAATTAATTAGTGAAGAGGTAAAATTTCCCATGTCATGTATTTGAAGGTCTGTGACGGCGTTAATCTAAGAAGGGATTCAGGTCTTCACGGCGGAGATTATGAAGATGGCTGTCTTCTATGTTGTAGTGTCGTGTATTCTGGTAGTTTATCAACCTCGCCCGGGAAATCAAGGCAGCAACTTCGGTAAAGTTATATCAGACTACACGGTGCTAAATTTCAGTCTGATTATCTTCCTCTAAATTAGTGTAGAAATCGGGATAAATCCGTCACTGACGGTTTGCTAGACGACCCAATATGTCGGGACTTTTCTTTCAAAATCAACAGACAGCAAGGGAACAAGTGTCTAGGGCTGTAATAATCGGAGACTCATCTCCATACCCCACATACCTCTTCGTGATCTGGGGCTTTGATTTACGACCTTGAGGTTTCTGATTCCGGTATGAAATATAACTTGGTCAACTTAATTTATATCACATAAAGGCAACCTATCCTTACTCATCCACCTGTCCTCTATTCGACCTACAAAGTTATTGTAATACAAATTTTATCACATATCGCCTTTCTGCGTATATTATTTATCTCAACTTTGACTTCTTAAGACATTAAATTACTTTAAAATATTTCCGACGACCTCATGGGTAAAGTATTTTTCTCAGCCACTTCGTATCGCTGTTCAACTCGCAACGAAAATTCACAAAGTTAGGGAATAAATTTAATTTAAAAGATACAAATTGAAGGGTTCAGTTAATCGTCCCATTCAACCAATAAAATCGCTGTTTATGTCGATAAATTACGTGCCACTTGTTAACTCCGTTCTGGCCTTCGGATATTGAACAGCTAGAGGTGGTCGATAAATTATTTTTTTTGTGTGTGACCACAGAAAATTCATTATCATGTTCGCAATTGGATCCATTCTTTGCTAGTTAAATTCAGTCCACACCATTTTTTAATTCTTGATATCCTTAACAGATTCGCAGCGTGGTCCTATTGGATATTCTGGAAAAAATATTTTATGATATTAAAAAAAATCTCAAAATAAAATCAGATATTTTCCTGGTGACTGGGTCTGAAGGTGTTAGCAGCAAAGAAATACAAACGAAACCAAGTGCACTTAAACTGTGCTAATTACGTGAATTATGAATTATAACGGGAACCATTCTATAATGAATTGCAGGTTTGACAACAACACGCAGATTCTGGATATTTCCGGCAACAGCCTAACATATCTGAACAAGACGTCGCTGAGGAACATGGGAGTTATCTCCCTCACACAACTGAACGCGTCTAGGAACAGCATAAGTGACATCCACGGGGAGGCTTTCTTTGGTCAGAGCAAATTGCAGACACTGGACCTCTCCAGTAACAATCTCAGCTACATCGAACCATGGGCCTTTACACGAAATCCTTCTCTCGAATGGCTCTCACTCTCTGGTAACGGATTTGGTATGCTCCCTGAAGAAGGTTATTTTCTTTACTCAGATTCTGTAAGAGTGTTACATCTGTCTGCATGTAATTTGCGTCACATTCCAACAGAAACCTTTCAAGATCTTCCGAATCTTCAAGAATTATACATTTCTCATAACTTGATCGATATTCTGCCTCCTTTAGGTACCGGGTTCCTAACTGTGCTGGATGTAAGTAATAACAATTTGAGAGATTTGGATTCTGATATTTTCACTTCTTCGCCTAAAATCATTCGTCTGAATTTAAGCTATAATGGACTGAGGACTTTGAATATAGAAATGTTGCCTCAACTGGCCAAAGTAATTAGAACTGATGATTTAAGTGGCAACCCTTGGGTATGCGACTGTGTTATGTTTAACACGACATACTCCTGGTGTCGTAACAACGGCGTTGACTTGAATTTGACGTGCTCACGTCCTCCGAAGTTTAAGGACCAGAAATGGACTGTCTATGATAGAGAAGGTTGTGTTGAAAATATCTTCGACGAAGTGGACGAATTTACCGTAACTGGTAACGGCTCCTTTAGGTACCGGGTTCCTAACTGTGCTGGATGTAAGTAATAACAATTTGAGAGATTTGGAGTCTGATATTTTCACTTCTTCGCCTAAGATCATTCGTCTGAATTTAAGCTATAATGGACTGAGGACTTTGAATATAGAAATGTTGCCTCAACTGGCCAAAGTAATTAGAACTGATGATTTAAGTGGCAACCCTTGGGTATGCGACTGTGTTATGTTTAACACGACATACTCCTGGTGTCGTAGTCAAGAACAAGTTCCGGAATTTAAATCAAAATATTTCTATACGTCTTTAGCCCTTTTTGTTCTATTAATTGTTCTTACGGCCGTAGCTGCTTCGATGTTTTGTTACCTGAAGAAGTCTCGTGCGTCAATGCGTAAGGGCCCTGCCTTATATGATGAAGAGGAGAGCCATCTATCAATTGTCTGAACTACAAAATCCAACTCCTGGTTTGAAGAATGTCGTCGAGAATGAATTTCGAATTTTCGTCCAAAGAAATTTCATTGAAGTGAATGAAATATTTAATGAGATTGAATATTCTAATCTTATATTTTTTATTTTAATTGTTTTATATTATACGTACATATTGTCATATATTGTATAGAGTATAGCATAGGGGAATTACCAATTCAAGAAAGTTCATACTCTTTCTTTGAACCAACATTCTGGCTTTCTCGTTTCCCACGCTTTTAACGTGCTCGCAATCAGACCCAAAGTTCAAATCTGGTCGAGGTCAGTGGAATTTTAAGGTTAATATATATCACTAGCACGACTTCCTTCGGAGGGAAATAAAGCCGGCCGGTCGTATGTCGGAGATTTACGGAATGTAAAGGTTCCTTATGAACATGAACGAGAAGTTCCGTAAGTAAAATATAGAGGTAATTTGTCAACCATATCTCTCTCGTAAAGACCTTGCGATGGGCTTGTCTATCGTCGAGGGAGTTCTTACCAAATGTTTACAAAGTATATCAGAAACCTGCGAAATGAGGCCTCTATGCTCCAAGAAGGAGAGGAAAATGTAGAAGAAGATATGTAAGTGTCTCATAATCCCAAGTGGAATTTAGCAGATTGTAATCAGTGTTCTGATCTTCCAAAAATGTAATTCACGTTCCAATGGCTGTTTAGTTCTTAACAAATTCCTGGGTGTCTCGAATATTTAAGTCAGTTTGTTTTGAACCTTACATAATATCGTAATATTATAATAATTTATCAAACTATTATGGCTTCCTTCCAAATCGCAGTATTCGAAAACAGGTTTTTTCAAAAGTCGATTTTTGTATAAACCCTAATACCAGCCCATGTACCTGTTGGATAAATTATCTACTTCAAAAAGTTGTAGATGTCACTTTCAGATCTGCTGGAAAAAGAAAATCAACCTGTAATGATGCTCATGATTAACGTCAAAATATGAAACTATTTGTCACGCGTCATGTAGTGTTAATATACTTATTATAAACGAAACCAGTGACTGTTGTGTTCATTAATTGTGGAAACGTTCGTAATGAAATATTTGATTTGTAACTGCTTTATGTTAAACCTAAATAAATGTTCACGGATTACTTGACGACTTTATCACTAGCAGATTCTGTGTATTGTAGGATGATGCGTGATTAATGAGTACGAACTAAGGAAGGAAAATTAATGCAGATGGTCACCGCTAAATTTAATCTGCAGTTCAGAATATTTTCCTTCGGTAACTGAAGAAAACCACGACGAATTTCAGTAGGAAAATGTTTCTGGCCTGAGTTTTGAAACCATGTCCTACGGAGTACGAAGGTGTTTTGGAAAAGCATTCAGAATTTAACAATTGTGTGTATTCAGGTGTGGATAACAGCTCTCCATTCTAGTTCTCTTGCTTATTCTGAAGGGTTTTCTGGCAGATATTGTGTCAGCTAAACCCATACCATCAACACATTCCGTTCTTTAATGGAACACGGCGGGTGTTCACTGTTTTTACAGAAGACACTAATGGGCGCCATTATGATTTTGTTTAATTTCGCACCAGTCACGTGCAAAAGATACGCATGAGTGTTATATTTCCAACTATATCTTTTTTTCCTCAAGAGATCTCGCTCCTAGAAACTTCCATATGAAAATGTTGTGTGAATTTCTTATTTCCGAATGCGTCTCGCTTTCGTCTCATTTGATATGATATTATTTCTTACTCAGTTTTCTCAATTTTCCAGCCAGTTCTAATTTTCTTATCCAAACATTATTCTTAGAACCATTTTCTCGAACATCCTCACTCTATCTGCCTTTATAATTTTGTTGTTGGCAAGAAATCGAAGGAAATGTGTTAGCTCTGTTTTTTACGTTAAATATTAACAGTGACGTATAAGATACAGAATGTCAGAACCCAAAGAGTAACATTCTCCTGAAACCAGATATGTTTATCCTTCTTATTTTAAGCTTTGTTTTATGTTCATTATTATTAAAGTGAAGTATCAGAACACTCGTGTACTTGCAGCAACAGTGCGAATGCATCTCTGGTATGAAAAAGAGACCTTCTTCAGGTTCGTTGTGATGGCCTCTGCAGCGGAGTCCGCTTTGTAACTGTGGCGTTCCTGAAGAGTTGGCTAAATTAAGGTCACACTTTGTTGGTCCTTAGAGCATGCAGGAAATATTCTCATCAGACCAATCCCTACTGTAGCTGACCCTTCTTCTCCCTTTCGCCCTAATTAAACTCACCCACCTGTATACTATCACCACCCCTGCTTTCTTTGCTTGCCGTATCTTTAATCCAGATTCGTGGTCATTGTCAGGCTGAGTGAGTGCTTTGTTGGTTACAGCCGTTTACGTTTGCTTGGTTTCACAGGATTTCAGGTATTTTTGTTGTGACTGGACGACCTATACGTGTCACAGAGTCTTTTCAGTTTAGTTTTCTTTCATCTTCGTTCATTCCACGATTATCATTCACACTTAGCAACACGACATTCGCCGTCCTTCAAGTGCGTCTTTATTTCCTCTCTCTCCAATTCCGAGTGAAGAAAATCCCGGAAAAGTAAATGTATAAAAGTGCGATTTTTTACAAAGAAAAGGAGGAAAATGACTTTCTTTGTAAAAGAACTTGAAAAGTTCTTTCAGTTTTCCGCATTAGTTTTGGATATCATAATAAGTTTTTAATTATTTTTGACTGAAGATCTGACAAAGAAAATTAATTCACTTTACGAATGAATCTCACCCAGAAAAAGAAAATATAACCAGTCTGACCAGATGGCAAGCACGTGTTTATTGAATAACGTACAAATAATGGCTTTCAGTACCTAATTATAAGAAGTTTATAATCGTGTTATAAACTCTATTAGATGGTTATTACAAATTCATGAATAACATCGTCGGTGAAACATTTTCATATAAGAAAACGGGATAAGCCCTTTTCCTGCGGAAAATCCACTTCCCAGAAACTAACGAATGCTTGCCAGACAAAATTTGGAGATGAAGCATTCCTATTAAAGCTATAAGTTTCAAGGTCATAACCTCAAATTGGGGACGCAGGGAAATTAATAAAGCCGAATTTCAGAAAACGTATTCGGCATTCTAATAAAAAATGTAAAACTTTAATAAAATGTTAGTTCAGTGGTGTAAACGAATTGCGCTTTTCAAAATTTTTCAAAATATGCTAATGTAAGGCATTCTGATTAAGGATAAATTAAATTTCCGCATCTCTCCAAGACATGGCGGGCGAAGTGGTTTTGCACAAGCGATTGGAGATTACTTCAGGATTCACTTTTCTTCTACTGGGGATGAATGGCGAGAAAATTTATATTTGAAAAATTTATCCCAATGAGTGCTGAGAAGTGTTCTGTATACTCTGTACTCTATTCACGTTTGTAAATTCGTCCACATTCTATTTTGACATTATTCTCTACACGAGCATGTCTTTTTTTAATATTGGGCATTGTGTCTGGGTTACTTCATTCAGAGCGAAATTCTACCAACAAACCATCCAAAAAGTTATCCAAGGGCGGAGTTCTGCGCAAGCGCAAAACATCGTCCTTTGCAAGATAACACCATTCGTGCGTCGAAACGCAATACAAAATTTGTTCCTGCCCTTCGATCCGACGAAAGTGGCCGACAACAACAACAACAAATTTACTTTGTTGCTGTCGAATGAAGAATTATATTCTACAATGCAATGTGGGACGTCTACCTGAAGCCAATATCCGTACCTCCTCGCCAAGTTTTCCAATTTCCCCCACGAACCTCAAAATCAACGAAGGCTACGACCGAGCTGGGCGACTCCATGTCTTTGTTGCTTGGAGAGCTTTCAGAGCAAGCTCCTATCTTAATTGCAAAGGATTCAGACAAAGTGTAGGTATAACTAGTCCGTAACTAAATGAACATATGTGTGTAACCGTCTGCTACTGTCACCTCCCGTGCTGCTGCTGGTTGGAATCCCATGGAGCTGTAGTTGTCTCAGGGTGGGTGCTCAGCTGCCTCTGCTCCCAGGGGCATTGTGGTTAGCTCAGGGTGTATGATTGTTGGGTCCTAGCTTGTCGGTGGGTGGACTCTGATCTTGGGTTGTGTTAACGGCCTGGTTCGCATCAGTGAATGATAACACAGATTGATGTTTATGAGGAAGTCACCACTATTTATTGACATATGTTCAACACTGAGGTTACAGATAACTATTGGTGGTAAATGATAAATTTATAAAATATCACAGTCAAGCTATAAATCACTTGCGTGCTCTTGGTAGCTTTGATACTTGGAATTTAATTGTAGTTGGTGAAGTTTTCTAATTAATGTTCAAAATGTACCAAGTGAGAAGCAAAGTCTCAAAGTCCAAGTGTGAAGTGAAGTCTGTCACCCAGAACACCGGGGTTAAGACACATTCACAAGAAGACAACTCATTCCTGACTGAATAATGAACTTACAGACTCCAGCCAGGAAAGATATAACACTAATTTCCATTGGCGTAAGGGTCCGGGTTCGGTGTGAAGAACCTCCCTTTGTCATGAAAGAGAGAGACTCTTACAACATTCGCACAACCCGGTTTCCCACGCTTGCTGCTGAATGTAACTCTCTGTTGGGTAATAAACATAATTTAGCTAAAACAGGGTAAATTAGATGAGAGATCGATAATTAAGTAAATCCCTAAATTGTTTTCTGCACAATTAGCGTAAGGGCTACTTTTAGCACTTAGAGACGGAAGTCCACTTCCGTTCCAAGCAAGTGGTGCTAAATTCCCAAGTAGTTGTCAATACAATAAACATCCTGAGATGTGTGATGCAGAAACATGCGTTAAATTGAACAATTCGGGTGGCAACTAATGGTGAAATACAAAAATCTTAATAAACTGATATAAATAACACATGTCCTTATAGAAAGATGTGATTAAATATACTGGGGATATTGGAAACGACCCGTTCTTCAAGTGCCTGAGCCCTGCGGGTCCCAAGTTTTTCGTTGGCTTGATCTACGGACATTCGATAGGACTCCTTAGACGAAGGATCGGCCCGTCGCAAGGCCTCTACCTGCATACAGGACAGCACAACACAGAAAAACGCGGACAAACATCCATGGCTTGAGTGGGATTCGAACCCACGGTCCCAGCGACCAAGTGGCACAAGGCCCACTCCTCAGATCTCGCGGTCACTTCGGACCCCATGATTAAATATACAGAATTAATTAACTAAAACTAAACTGATGTCGGATGAGCGGTTACATTACCTACCACGCGCATTAAAACCCCGAAGTTCTTAATTTTGTCAATTGTGTACGAATTAATTTCCGTAATTCTCAAAATAAACAACAATCTTTCCCTTAAACGGCTACAAGACTGGAAAGATAAAACCCACAGGGGAGTAGACACACGCGTTCTTTGCAAATCCTGATTTAGGAATTAAATTAAACGTCAGTTTTGTCGCTCAGATAACTTAGTTTCCACCCTCCGTGCGCAATAGAGCGACGAATATTTACCTGACTTTCAGACGCTCATGAGCGAACTGGTGGGGGAAAATAAAAGAATGAGGGGACTCTTTGGAAGATTATCTTGTTTCACGTCTCATTGATTAAAGTTCGTTTTAAGTATGGAGCACAATGATAAAACGTGAAGCTACTTGTGACTCCGAAATGCAAAAACGAATTATGACAAAAATGTTACTGTTTTTTTAAAAAATTGTAAGAGTAACGAATAATTGCAAAGGTGGTTTATTGGATGGAGCAGTAGAACGCATGATTGTGGGAGACAGTCCACATACTACAAGTTCGTCTGAAGAGTGAATGGGGAAAAGGATACCAATTTCTTTGTTTCCCCACTGAATTTTTTTTGCAGAGCGTATTTTATTGTCAACAGCATAAGGTCCATACCAAATTTCCTGGGGGCATTGTCGTGATGCAAGATCCCAGCATTCGGGCAAAGTTCATGTCTTTTGTGACAAACAGCCCCGCGTAAACTTGCCAGTATTTCGAAATAACAAAGCTGGTTTATTGTTCGAACTTGTTCATCGAACGCAAAGTGAACAGTTTTTCTTTTTGCAATTTTATGCAACTAAAGTTACTGTACTTTCTCATGGCCTGATAAGCAGAAGCGTCTGTTCACATCTGCACATTTTCACTCTATCTTATCCCCGGTCACTGCTTAGTTATCGCTCCACACATTCCGGTGACATTATTGTCACATCGTTCGTTCAGTAATCACAGATACTTTTACTTGTTATAAAAAATATTCTTTCTTGTCAAGATGCACAGGACAGAGAGAGGATTACATCTGATATCATTAATAACTCTGAACGATTAGTAAAGCAATTAAGGTGTAAGATGGACAAGTTGACTGATGCGATTGTAAATTGTACAGAATTGGGAGTTGACAAACTGTGTACCGAATTATCAAGTCCTCATGACGAGCAACAGTTCTTCAGACAGATCAGCTCGAGCCTCAGATGAAGACAAAATACCAATGAAAAGCGGAGGATATGATGAGAAGTCTGATGGGAAAAGACATCGCAGAATGGAAAGGGAGACGATAATGATGAAGGAAAGAAGTCTGGAACCGACAGTGAAGATGCCAGGAAAAGAGAACTTGGTACAGCAAGTGATGCTAGTGATGCTGAGAGCGAGAAGAGACATTCGTCTAAGAAGAAGCGAATTGCTTCGATTGGTTCTGGGGGCGATGACAGTGACGCTGATGAGGCAAAGGCAAGAGGCGATGAAGACGGGAAGGAACAGAGTGCAGATGCCGCCATGTTGTTTGGAGATGCAGACGACATCACATCAGATGAGGTTGAACACGAAGCTCCAGGTCCAAAACGTGGTTCAGGGGATGAGAGAGACAGCGTGAAAGAAAGAAGTCCAGACCCGGATAAACACGACGAGAACAGGTCTTCAGTGCCTTTCATTGGAGTTGATGAAGCTGAGGAGTAAACCTATGAGCTTGTCCCAGACACGAGGATTGATGTGGTGATCCCAAAGACCAGCTCAAACTTAAGACGAGAAATGGCCTTTCTGAAGATGAGAAAAAAGACCTGAAAAATGTGAAGTCAATAATGAATGGGGAATCGCATTAAGTGAAATGATTAGCTAAAGTACTTGCGAAAATGGTAATTACACTGCTGAGTGATTAAATCTAACAAAGTGTTAACATAATCACTAGGTTTGATTTGTCAAACATAAATGTACTTGAGATTGCGTCTGCTATGGAAAGAAATACTTGATAATTGCAATCGCATTTTTTGATGAAGGATTGGAAGTTAACACTATTGGTACACACTTGTAGATGATAAATAGTGTGAGTGCGTAGTAGGCATAGGCAAAAGGAATTGATGTAGAAGATTAAGTTTTCAATTAATTACATAGCATATAACTGCCATTGTAGTTCGATTGTGGATAATGACTAATGTGACAATTTTTTTTAAATGATTAAGAGGATGTTTGTTTTGAGAATTAAGATTAGTGAAGGTGAATGAGTAATTAAATTGTAATGTACTGTTTTTGTACCGTTTTAATTTTTGATATTTCTTAATTTAATGTGTTGTTAAATTTTGGTAATTCCAGAAGTGCTGCATACAATCTATACTAATTAAAGATGTTGTGAACTGTCACAGATTTAACGTGTTAACTGGGGCTCGGATGTTCATGACATAAAAACCGATAAATATTCATGCAAATATGCCCCGCGAAATATCTAAATATGACCAAAAAAGTCAAAATATGACCTAATTTGTTATGAAGAAATATTCGTTAAAATTAAAAAAAAATGTTTTGTGCTTCAGTCATGTTCTTTATTTACATATGCGTGTACAATGCCTCGATTTGGATCAGCATCAGATGTTGAGAATATGTGCTTCTATAAAAAGAAGGTCAATTTAAATAATATCCTTTCATGCATATCAAATTCATTAAATACAAATAAATAAACAAAGAACATTCAAAATGTTACGTACCTTTCTTCATTCTCCTTTCTTTGCAGCATTACAATATATAACGATTTGCATTTTCAAGGTCTCAAATTAAAATATTCTTAGATTGTCGCTCAGTATAGTCTTGTAACTTTAGAAACTTCTTTGGACATCGCATGTCACTGGAGCATATTTTAAGAGGGTTAAGTCATAACTGTTTAACGGTGTTACTTCATTTTCTCCCGGTGTAGCTTCATTTCCGCTTAGGATGCCGCTTATTTTGCACATTGCCGCATAACCATCATTTCGACACAACACTGTATTAAGTTTTGATTTCACAGCATCACCTATTTTGCCTCTTGCTCGCCATATCTCGCACTCTAGACCCTTAATCAGCTCCAAACTTTCATGTAGATCTGCGTCAAATGTTTCTAGGCGAGAAATTGTAGTTGCTATACCTCCATAGTTAGATTTTTTATAAGCCGTACTTCCTGACAAACTGCTGGAAAATAGTTCTTTAACAATTTTGATAGAAAATGCCTCACTGCTGTCAAAACTGTTAACAATTTCGCAGAAGTACTCAGCAGCATCGAGCCAGATACCCCATCGAGTGAGTACCGGCTGAGGAGGAATTTCTGCGCTCGCAGTGGAGCTTTAACGAACATTTTCTTAACGTTCGAGATCAACTTGTCGACTTCAGTATGACTACGGCTAATTTTTTCGGCAACAATGTGTATGGCATGAGCGAGACATGTTAAATGGACCATTTTTGATAAAGCATTTTGAGGCCCTTGGCAGCTTTTACCATATTCGGTGCAGCGTGCGTTACAAAAAGGAGGATATTGTCTCCCCTAACGTCCCTTTTCTACAAGTTCCATGGCGCTATCGAAAATTACAGCGATAGAGAAGTGGTTTACTGTATCAAGAAGGAATAAGTCACCAGGGCGGTCAGCCATTAACGACATTCGCTACAAATCTGCCGCAGACATCCGTTGTTTCATCAATCGAAACCCAAATCTTATTGTCCCCTACAGTACATGTAATTATTTTCAGAACATCTTCATAACAGGCAGGTACATAATTTATTCTTAGTGTTGATTCGTCTGGAATTAACTGAGTCGTGTGTTTCACCAAGAAAGCTTTGAACTGCTCATTGTTCACTTTGTTCAGTTGGCAGACGCCATCATTTCACACACAGGTCCTTTGAAAATTCCGATGTCATGTTTGATGGTGAAGTTGTTGCAGTGTTATCGAACAGAAGTCGTTGCTCACTCTGATGACAGGTTTGTCGGCTCAAATTATTTTTGTTTAGCCGTATCACAATGTTGCACATTAAATCGCTTACCGGCTTTAACATTTATTTCACAAAGTTTACAGAACAGAATTGTTCCATCAGAACTAAAATATTCCTCGCCGAAATCTTTAACTAAACCTCTTAACTTTGCACTTTCAGAACACTTTATTTTCGACATCTTAACTAACAGTAGGATTCACTGTAAGTGACTGAGAAGTGTAGTTAAAAGTAAGAAATTTATACCCAAAATACAACCAAAATATGCATATAACTACAAATATGACCAAAACATAAAAATGACCTAAATATGCATTTATATACAAAATGAACACAGCATAATTGTGATCAGAACAACTGAATTAGTGTTTAATTTCAGTTTAGAATGAAAATAGAAGCCCGAATATAAATATGACATGTCATGAACATCCGAACCCTAGTTAGACGGGAGTTAACGCAATGCCACTGGCCAGGTAAGGCGATGTCGGCCAGTTGGTGCATTGTCAACCTCTCCAACACACATTAGGAGGAGAATATCTGGGTTCGAGTCCCGGCGAGCTGTCAAGGTGTGGAGACAGACTATAATTTGGTACGGGACACTTTGTGAACGACTAAAGAAGGAAGTATAGCGCCACTCTGCTGGCCGCATTCATTGAAGGTCCACCTGCAAGCTGTAAGGTGATTTAAAAAAGTACCTTGTCGTTCTGTGCAATTGTTGGTCACAATAGCGGCGAGAGCTATTTGATGTGATGCAAATGTTCTGAGAGGTCCGACATCAGCGTGGAGTTGGAGTCATAAGACCAGTCCGACCATTTGTTTACGTTTTTGAAACAAATAAACCTTTAAAATTTAAGGAAAGGAAAGTCTGGCGACGCTGGGAATACCGAAGCACTGCGGTCTTGGATTCTGGCAAGGAAACAAAAAAATGTTCTTGCTCTACGATCCAGCGAAAGTGACCGTCAACAAGAGAATATATATATATATATATATAACACTGTGTTATAGTCATCTCTTCGGTTTTTGCATCGGCTAACTCAGGGTAATCAGGGTCGCTCACGGGGATCGAATATCAAAAGAAGTAACAACTGCACTTGAACTCAAAGTCTGCCTTTATTATATAGTTCTTTAAAATGCACACTTATACAAATTTTCGATCTTCTTCCTTAAAGATACTTTCTACTACCGTCTCACTGGTTTCATTCCTTCGAGAGACCACACACGAGTCCCCCACCTAGTCCCTTACGTATTATAAACAAACACCTCTTTGTTCGAAGGAATTCCAACCGAGCTCCCTCATGCAGCTTTAATCCACAGAACTCCATTACCCAATCATAAACGAGTTTCATATAAGAATAATGAAGGCAGTGTCCGGACTGTTACACGACATTCAAAGTTATTGTAATGTTAAATTTCGCCAGATAATCGGCTTTCTGCTTATCTTGTTTATCCTATCCAAAACGGAACATTGAAAACGATATTAATTTTAAAATATCTCTCATGAACTCAAGAGTGAAGTATTTTCAACAACAATTTCATATCTCAAAGATGCTGAATAAAGATAACTTAATAGGTTGACTTTAAAGAGTTCAGTTAATAGTCCCATTCAATCAATAAAATATCTGTTTAAGTCAATAAATCACACATCCTTTCAATAGCTACACACATATCCCACGCATAAAAAGCTGTAACCACATGAGCACCAGGCAACGACAATTAACAAACAGTGCGACTTTGTGAGAAAAAGAAAGAACGGTTACAGCGTTTTGGCGCCCAACGTGGGGCGTCGAAGGAAGAAGGGCACGACGACGAAGAAGCGGTGGCCAGGAGGACGAGCTTTGAACAAGTCTCCACGGCATTCGCAGCGAGGCTGAAGGGCAACGACCGACGTTCGAACCGAGGGCTACAATCTTCGACGACATACCTATTCAAGCAAGCCTACAAATATTCAGGTTGGTAAGAAGCAATGTGGCCTTTAGAGTGCTACGAAGTAAGAAGGCATTGTGAGGCGAAACCGAAGAGGACTCCCTAGGAGATTGGCCGTGAGGACAGGCTAATGATGACAATGAGCAAAATGAAGGAATGGGTGAAGACGAACAAGTGGCGGACAATTCAGTAATTAAGGTTGAGGAAGTATTAGAATGTAATACGACAGGGGGAGAAAATGTGAGAATTGTAGGTACAGTTGATGTGAGTAGCAAAAACGGGGGAGCAGTAGATCAAAATGTGCAGATAGATCTATTAAACATGATATTGCAGACTCTGCAGGAAAACAGAAAAAAAAAAGGTTCAGGAAGGAAACTTTAAAGACATTGCAGGATTTTTATGTCAGGAATTCAGGGATGTTATCTGAACAAAGTAACAAAGTAAATGAAAGTATTAATAAAAGAATGACAGATGAAAACAATAAATTGAAACAAGCTATAATCTCTCCGAAGGAGGACACTCAGCAACAAATTGAATGTATGAATGATAAAGTAGACTAAGTGGATGAATGTATGAATGCAAAATTAAGAACGTAAGTGTCCGAAGCCAAGATGGACCACGAAGGTCTAGGAAAGGAAACCAGGGCTGAAGTGGAGGCAAATATGAGGAATATTCATAAGGAAATTTCGAGTTTTAAGGAAGGAGTGACAGAGGAAATTATGAACCTGGTTCAAGAGCAAGTGAAGGCTGTTAGCAGGGACAGCGTTTCGAAATTAGGAGAAATTTCGAGCAGGATAGACAAAATTCAGGAA